GTACATTCCGCAGCGACTTGTCCTATCATGCACACGTGCATTTCACTTCAAAGACTGCTCATGCGCATGCGTTGCGCAGAGCCCTATAGGTTTTGACATCACCTCGCCCTTCATTCCAGAAGGTAGATACGCGGTGTCGAAAAAGAATTCATGATGCGCTTCCCCGTCCTTAATGAAGAATGGGGACGGCAACCGTGGCACCTGCCAGCATAAGTAAGTAGTGTTACCTTACTTACCTTTTGATCTGTGACAAAAAAATTCCTAATGCGGTTCCCTGTCCCGAATGAAGAATAGCAACAGCAAACCGGGGCGCCCGACAGTAGGAATAACATTAGCTTAGTTAGACAAGTGCTTGGTCTGCGCCGAACACCCAGGATGCGGTTCCTCGTCCCCCGTGAAAAATGGAGACGGCAACCGGGGTACCCACCAGTAAGAGGTGCAATAATTGACTTAGAAAAACATTTGGTCTGTGCCGGGAAAAAGCTCATCATGCGCTTCCCCGTTCTCAAGGAAGAACAGGGATGGCAACCGGGGCACCTGCCAATAAGAAAAGCACTAGCTTAGCTAGACAAGCATTTGGTCTGTGCCGGAAGTGAGATTCATGATGCGCTCCTCCGTTCGCAAGGAAGAATGGGGACGGCAGTATTAGCTTACTTAGAAAAGCTTTTAACTTGTGCCCGAAAAAAGAATTCATGATGCGGTTCCCCGTCTTCACGACGGCACCCGGGGCACGTGCCATTAAACGTAGCATTAGATCATTTTGAAAAGTTTGTAGTCTGTGCCCGAAAAGAGAATTCGTGATGCGGTTCCCCGTCCCCAATGAAGCATGGGGACGGCAACCGGGAACGTGCTAGTAAGAGTAGTGCTAGCACATTCAAAAAGCCATTTGGTCACATAATAGCGAAAGGTCCTTGCCACAGGCAGCACTTGAACCTCCTCTTCTACTCCAGGAACGGAGCATCCCTTTTCTGCATCTACCTGGTTACCCCCATCTTGTGCATTGCCTGAGGGTAATATTACTGGGGATGCAGAAGGCATTAGGGAGGTGGAGGCGACTTGCACCTCCTCTTGGCACTGTCAGAAGGAGCTATCTATGCGTCGATAGTACTCGCTAGGCAAACCCGGCGGAGAAGAAGGCTGGGCATTAGCGTCTTCGCTGGCTTCAACCCTCAGGAATGGGGTAGCGGGTGCTTCCTCGAACCTGTAGTCACCAGCCGCCTCTGCTTCTCTCTGCATCTGAAGAGCTGCCCGTAGTACCTCAGTTTCTCTTCCATATTCGGCCAACTTATGCTGCAACCGCTGTGAACTGATTACCTTCAAGGCCTTCCTTCAGCCATATCATCCCGCGGATTTTGATTCCACGAGCGATACGGGTCGGTAGTCATGAGGTTGTGTTCGGCTTGGCAGCCATTTTGACTACCCTGATGGCTTACACCCCCTACTACCTGATCATTAAAAACACAGCAGTACCCTCGGGACTACTCGAACCAATCATTTCAGTCTGAGCAGCCTGCGGCTAATTGACACCACGTCCTGCAAAGGAACGTTGCAGAGCTCCGCCAGAGCTCGCAAGACCATCAACGGTCGGTGGGCGCTGGGCATGAATAGGCATACCCGAATGAATAGAGGCCGTTACACCCAAACCCCTATCACCCAAGGAATTACCTGCCCTAGCTAAACCCGTAGGATGGGGCATATTATTACCAACCACCCTAACACTTTCAGGCAGGACTCCGCCAGAGTCTGCACAGCGACCATCAACGGTCACTACGGGGCGTGAGGCACGCACGGGATTACCGAGGCAAGTAGGGCCTGCTTGTCCTACAGAACACCCATTACCAACGGGATTTCCCACCCCACTTTGACAAGCCCCCGGGTGCGGCGTGCACATACCGCTTAACCCGTTAACTAACTGTCCAATATTACCATCAGACTGACGTTGCGCACCTACCACACACGGCGCTGAAGCCTGGCCAAAAGCTTCTGTACCGATAGGCAACACAATACTATGTAACCATGGATCCCACCGTGCATCCTCGAAGTTTGAACCTGCAAGCACCTCAGAGATCGTGGGTCCAGGCCTGTTTGACACATAACGAAGCTGGCTAAGTAGAGCTTCCCGCTCACTCAGAACATAGCTTCCACTAGCATCACGTCCGGAGAATTGCGCAACATTCCCGGCAGCTAGCACCTGACGACGTGGGTCACCTCCCACTGGAATACCACCAACTAGGGTGGCAACAAAAAGTTACCTGCGTAGCCCTGTCGGATCTGGGCGTCCCCTTCAACGGACCTGACTACACCTGTGTTGCCGTAACCGGCAGCTAGCAAATACTCAACAGGAACTGTACGAGCGCCTTCCGCCAAAGGAACACTCATGCCTGGAGTACCACTACAATTAACAAGAACGTGACGCCCTTCATGACTAAAGGCGCAGGGATTGCTGACTCCCATACTGGGAATATCTGCAGATGACTGCGCTGGAGGCGCATTAACGTGCGAACAATGTTGGCCAAGACTCCCGCCAGAAGTCCTAGAAAGGGAAGAGCCCAGTGGGCTTAGCACTAGCTGTGGACCTTCCTGGCCTGCTGGATGACCTGCCATACTGCTTTCTTGGGGAGAAACGCAACGAGTGCCAATTGGGCTCATCACCTGCTAGACACTGGGGCCTTCACACAGAGTTGGCACTTAACAGGCAGTATGGCTGAGCCCTCGATCACCTTTTTCTATGGCGCACAGAGAAGCTACTCAGGTCACAATCTACACACAAAGAAAGAACACACGCAGCGATTAAAATTGAAAGTATGAATACTACCTCTATACAAAGTCTTGGAACACGCCTACCTGCTGTGATCCTAAACAGCTACAGGCATGCACAACTACCTGCACATGCTGCACATGCACTCATGCTCATGTACAAGCACTCGCCCCGTTCTGTTTTACAGAACGTCACAATGCATTGTGTACATATGACCGTTCCTCCAGAACATGGGTAGGCCTTGGCTCTCTTTCCCAGAGTAGGCGCTATTACTATGGCAGATAGGGGATGTTTAGACTATACGGCCTAATCCATTGGACGAGCGTTGCACCCCATGGGACAAATGCTCTGTCCTCCACTTGGACGAAATGTCGTCTGCATCCACATAATCCAGATATAGTAATCTCTGGACCTAACTGAAGAGCACTTCGAATTTCCTCGATTCGGGCTCCGCAAGGTTCCAGATAGACCAATGGAGTACTCTACGTTGAGAACCACAGCACTGTACTGGGCCTCAGGGCGTATGAATGACGCAAACCAGGGTGCGTGCGGTGGCAACACACATGGAACATGTGGGTCGTTTGCCAACGCAGTACCCACCAAGCTTTGGTTTACTGCATAATGCAAATGAGGAGTATGGCAACTCCTTGGAAGCGGTTCCTCCAGAACATGTAGAAATATCCTATCGCACAAGGTTTTCAGCCTGAAGTCATCTTCAATCTCTTTTTCGCGTTGAAAGAGACGTATTTCGTACCCCTGTCTATGCATGAGGATCTTCAGCTCAATGGCATTTCGGTCACCATGAATAATGACCATGTTGCCCGGGAGGCGATTGGATTGCAGTTTGTCTTCATGGACTATCATCCCTTGGCATGGTGAGCCCAACTTTAAGATTGCAACCAATTTCTCTTGGTGTTGGCCAATTTTACCATGGGACCTGACACGCTTACGGTCAGTCTCTCTGCTATCTGCTGAAGAGGCGGCCGTTTTGACCGTTGTAGCCGGAGGCTCACTTCTTAGTTCGACTGAAGCCTTAAGCTTGTTCATCTCTCCTGCTAGCTCTGCTTCAGTAACCTTCTGCCCGGAGTCCTGACTGTCCTCTTCCTCAGATTCGGAGGGCGCGGGAGATAATTTGGCTTTAACCTCCTTTGCTCTGGCTACACCACCAGTATCTGCTAAAGGAGTATCTTCAGGCTCACTCTTAACAGGCTTTAATTTTTGTTCGCCTCATTTTTTTTTCGCCTCTTCGGAGTCTTCGCCTTGGTATCAACCGGCGACGCCTTTACCTTGGGAGTAGGGCGTAAGTACGTGGATGGAGCCTCAATCGGCTCCTCAACTCCCTTAGCCTTCCCGGCTGAGGCCTTACGAGACCTTTTGGAAGACATAGAAGCCTTTGCGGCCTTCCGTTTCTTCGAGGCTGCTTTGAAGTTTAAGCTACGTTTAATTAATTGATCCTCTCAGGACCAGTTGCTCTGCATGAAGATCACTCGCAAGAGAGTAGGGCTGTTCAATGGCTCGCGATGCCTGAACTTGGTGCCTGGTTACAGCCGGCATGCCCTGCCTGCTGCTTGGCCACGGTCAGATGGTGCTGTGCCTGATCCATCGTGAACCTGCGTCCAGCTGAAGACAGAGTCCTCCACAGCGTGTGTGAGTCCTACCCCGGTACTTCCATACCTGCAAGCTCGTCCTCTGTGTCGAAGTACCAAACATCATTCCACAAGTATCTCGGGTCCCAAGGTTGATAGCCACCAGCCATCCAAAGTCGGCGGGTGTCCTGGGTGATGCAGCGATCTGTAAAGGATTGTAAGGGCACCCATCCCAGATAAGGCCGATTCTCGTGTCTGGCTACTTCAACTTTGTTTGGGATGGGACTCGGCCCGGCTTACACAGAGCACTGCGTGCTGAGAAGTCTCTGGATCAAATGCTGAAAGGTAGGCCAGCCGGGGCGAACCTTCAGGACCTGGCAATGTTGTGAAGACAAGAAACCGTTTCCTACTTGTGCTGACCTTTGACCTTGCAAAGCCAATTCAAACTTCAGGAATCAATCATTGCGACTTTGTGCACGGACAGGTATGACCATATCTAAGTCGCAGGGTCCACTAGGTTGACTCAGAACTGCATTGGCAAACACTAGACCTCAACGTTTGGCACTTGGCCTGCCTGGACCGCCAATGCCATTATTTGCCTGCGTCCAGCTCCACACCGCGACGTTTGTGTCAAAGTACCAAACATCGGGTTTATTGGTTCCATACCCTGATATGAGCCATAAGCGACCTCGGGCCGCATCCCATCTTAGATCAAGAGCATGCCGGTGCCCTGGCCAGGTGGTGCCATTCCACACGACATAGGTCCATGTGAAGGCATCAACATCAAAGTACCACATTGAGCGCCCGCCGCTTCCATAGACTGCGTTGTAGCGGCCAAAGATCCACAGGCGGTTTTTGTCATCAAGCGCGTAACCTGGATGATGGCCTCCACTAGGCCAAGTCTCGTGGAGTGTTTCTATCTTGAACTTGTGTCCAGCCAAATGCATCGGACCTGGCCATACAAGCTAAGTTCGCCAGCAGGCATAGCACCTGCACATACATGTAGGCGCGGCCATTTCGCATTCCGCTGAAGAAATGCCCACTGCTTCCCCCTCTTGAGCCTTGCTGAAAAACTGGCGACATGGGCGAGTCGCTAGCCAATACAAGATTTCAACACGAAATGCCCCCTAAATTGCCTGGTAGCACCAAGCCAGCGCTGCTGCAGGCTTGCAATTTCAAAGCGACTTCCGCTGCATGACCATAAAGGCTTATCAAGAGTGTCAAATGGTGATCGTGCGATAGTGCAATGACAAAACACCACAGCTCACACGCAGCGACATGGAAGCCAACTCACCTTTTAAACAGCGTGGTCTTCAGGTTTGTTTGGCTAAGGCAACGGCTAACACCTACCCGAAACTAATGGATCCCTATACCACTGGGGGATCCTACTGGGAACAAACCTTGACAAAAAGTTACCAGTATTTACCAGTGCAAAACTTCAATCCTTGAAGAACTGCAGCAGCTTGGACAAGAGTGGAATGTTGTTAGCGCTGTACAGCTGCCATCTACGTGAAACGCTCTGAAGACAAAAGACTGCCAGCTCACCACATGCTGTTGTGGCGGGCAGCCCGAACCACCATGGAAGAAAGGCAGGCAAACATTCAAATGGAGCCGCGCTGCCTCCTGCAGTAGGAATTAACATCTCGCCAGGAAACACGAATCCATCGTCCATAATATTGGCATAAGGGGAGGTCGGGCCCTGTGCTTCGACTTCCGAATCAACCGTCCTGCAAGGTCTTCCAGCTGTGACCTTCTTTCGGTCCGTGTTGTTTTTAAATCCTGGCATTGAGGGTTCTTATTTAAATCATGTCTACGGTTTCTGAGTTCACCAGAAAGTGAGAGACGAACATGTCTCTGCCCAGGCCGCTGATTCATCCTCAGCCAGGATAATCCTTCTCTCGGCTGATATCTTCTCTGGCTGCTTTCGCTTGGGAATGCTTGGGAGTGTGCCCTCAAATCGAGCTGTGTCTCATCATCTGAAGCAGGTTTGGCAGCTCCAACATCTATCTCTGCATTGCAAACTACAACCCGATCCGAACCCTAAAACCTGAGCCAAAGCCTTGAGTCAAGATGGCTACGGTATGCTACGGTGCAGGACCCGTCCCCGCTTCTCAGTTGACCCTGCCCTCTGCTCTCCTTTGCCCAATCTTGGGGTAGGTACCGGTCCTGGGCCAGTGTAACCTGTCCTACGCCCATGATGTGGGGGGGCATACATCCATCCATCCTAAAAACCAAATGACGGTTTACGCTTGAATGGTGGTGGACTGCTAGATTACCCAGTTTCCGATTGCAATGGGCTTTCTGGGCATTGGAATCCAAGGAATCCAATGTAGCGAAACAAATTTGCAGGTTGCACGTGCTACCTTTTCCGGCTCCAAAGTTGATGGGTGAGACTTGTGCACGCCTGGTCGCGGGAAGGGCCAACTCGCTGGTTTGGATGGGTTTGGGGCTTTGACGGCTTCCCAGTCACCAGGGCACTTGGGCAAATCATTGCGTGGATGAGCTTGCGAAACTGAAAAGACTCAGCACCCCTCAGGAGCATATGTGACACTGCACGCAGGCTTCTGGTATCAAAGGCGCAGCAGGCTTGAAGCCAAATCGGGAGATGGCGATGGCAACAACATATGATTTCTACCGGGCTTGTTTGGCAACAATTGCCGCCTCTCACAGGCTTTGAAGAATATGCACACAGCCTGCAACGTGTGGAAGTCAAAGGCATGTGTGCTTTGTGGAGCGTGGCAGACCCACATGCCTCAGTAAGTGCTGGCCTGAAATGTCAGGGAAGTCCAAAGCCTTCACTGTTTGCGATGGCCTTTGTGATGTCGTGAAAGGTGCGCTTCTGAAGTCTGTGTGGTTTCAAGCGTCTGGATATGTTCCTTTCTAAGCCTGAGGGACAGGCCAGCAAAAGCCTGGGCCATCAAATCGCTCGTGGTTGAGAAGCGGATGCATGACAACTGAAGCGACGCAGTGACTTCTCTTGCAAGCACGAGACCCATTGCGCAATTTCTCCTTGGTTGAGAAGCGCGGAAGAAGCAACTGACCTGGCAGACAAGAAGCAGTCAAGTCAAAGACAGCACCACCAAAATGAAAACGCAACGACGCCCAATCCTGGATGCCTGATGATAAGCGCACACCATGCCCTTTCTTGCCTGATCCTAGTCCTTTAAACCACTTCCATCTGCTCTGGTTGCTGCCCAGACATAATAGACATAATTCGGACTCTGTGCAAATTCATTCGTTGTGACCTGTATTCATATCCAATTTCCCAGAAATCAACCAGCGGTTTTGGAACAATGTAAACTAGGCATGCTTCACTGAAGCAAGTGTAAGCAGATGGTAGGCGATCGTCTCCAACACCATTTTTCTGCACAATGAGACCTGCAGGACAAGCTGCAGTGGCCACTCACCTTCTTTGTTGAGCTTTGGTTTAAGAAAAGTCCTGCCTAGAGATTGCCAGCCCTTCAACGGCACACGGTCGCTGGCAGTGACAAACACCAGAAACTGAGCCTGGCGCAGGGATGACTTTTTGTTTCTAGAGTTCCATGTCAGACCATGTGCAGGAACAGCCAGGGAAACTCATGCAAAAGCCAAAGCCGAAATCAGAGCTCATCACTTACTTCTAGAAGTGAAGCAGGAGCAACAGGCCTTCTCTGCCTGACTGACGCTTGCAAGAACCTCACATGTGCCAGTGCATTGCTATGCATTGAGAAGTAGCAGCTTTTGTCCATCATGATTGCGTGTCTGGGCAGTTTCCAAAGCTGCCTCCCACAACCACGGCAGGTATTCTGACCTTTACGCTTTGCGGTGCACTTGACAAAGCTGAGCGACAGACGAGAAAACAGATGCCGCGTAGGAAAGATAAGCTCCATGCCGATCCTCCTCGGTCCAACCTTCAAGCTCTGCGCTCGATCGAATTGCGTCAACCTCAAGAAGCTCATCACCTCATGCCCTCATGCCGCTCAAATTGGGACTCATTACGGATTCATAGGCCGGCCGCATCTACATTGTCTGCTCTGCCGCAGACTATCTTTTCCAGCTGAACCTGAGATGAGGCGCGCCTGCTCTGTGCAGAAACCGCAGCTTTTCTTGGAAGATTCCAGCTCAGGCCTAGGGCCTCTGCTGCATCAACGATTGTTCGCAGCAATGACCTGGCCAGGACAGCCAAGCTCTGCAGGCTCCAAACACATTGCTGAAAGCAAGGAAGCAAGTAAATGTGAGCTGGAGATGCGAACCACCGAGGATTGTCTTGAAGCCCTCGCTGAGCGGTTTCATCCTCAGAGAATCTTTTTCAGGATGATGGTCAGAGTGGAATTCAAAATCATACAGGACCGGAGCCAGACAACTTGTGTAATAAATTCTGTGGGCTAAGACTTCTTCTGAGGGTGAGGTCGGTGAAGCGGGCTCGGGGGCTGACGACTATGCTCCCCTCAGCCCTGGTTCTGCTTACACCGGGAAGCCCTGAGAAGGTGCTGTTCAGGTCCTCCAAGGCTGCTGTAGATTGTAGAGACAACATGCTGAGATGCCAGCTGGGCCTGTATTCTGCCGTGAAAGAACCAGTCGACATAAGCCTGAGTACCCAGGGCGAGGTAACCTACTTCTTAAGACACGCTGCGGAGTCTTTCCCCATTCCCCAGTGGCCTGTACAAAGTCCTCTTTGTTCGCCTGCGAGATACGCAGATCCTCCGGCAAGTGGCTCCCACCTGAAGCATGGATCCGAAGCAATCTGCAATGCAGCTGCATAATCCTGTACTTTCGAGCAAGCGACGCGGCCACGCCAGATCTCCGAACACTTCAGCAATATCCTGCTAACTTGCTTGCGCACGGCAAGCACAAGCGGCACAAATTGCAGACACTGGACGTTTGAGAAGCCATCGTGCTCTCGGACTTGAGCGCTGCTGATGATGACACCAAGCAAACCACGCTCAGTCACTTAAGCTTTGGAGTTGGGCACCTATTCCTCAGCAATTGGTCATCTAGGGCTTTGTTGGTTCGCACCTGGCCAAACCTTCAGTACCGTTCGAAGAATATCAAAGTAACTGTTCCTGCATGTATGCCATCCCCGCTCCCCCCATTGAAGAACACTTTTGCAGGAGTGCCCCGTTGCCGTCTCTCACTGCGAAAATTAATATCGAACGCCGGGAGGTTTCCGCATAGGCACAGGAATGAATTAGTTCACTTCAACTGACTCTCTGCGGCTGCTCGCTGCTCCGACGCTACTAATCATGAAAACGTTCCTGCCCCGCTATTCCTTTCCAAGAAAGGAGAGGATGACACACGTTTTCCAGAATACCTCGACCTGGCACGTGTGCCAAAACGCCAAAGAAATCAATTTAAGGAAGCTTCAAACTGAGAAATTTTAGGAATGAAATTTTGGCTCCCCAGTCCCAGGGCAGATTCCGCGCCGCGCTCCTTGGGAATGCTTGCCAGGTTTTCAAGCGGCGTACTTCTGAAGCTGGACCTCCAACGACTCTCCCAGTCCGGGTGCAAGCAAGGCTTGCAAAAGCAGTGGGCTGAGAACCTGTTCAAGGTCATGTGCCACTCACGCACCCTGAGGTATCAAGGTCTTCAGAAAGTTTCCGGTTCAAGCTTGCAGCAGGTGCTCTTGGGTGAATTTTGCCACTCGCAAGAATTGCTGGCAAGCCTGTTGTAACGATGAGTTAAGTTCATGCTGCTGATCCCCATGCTTGCCGTCGGCGGATCGACAAACATCCAAAGCTTCAGAATTTCCAGCAGCACGTGGTAAGAATGGAAATTGCAGCCACTCACACTAACATCTCCATGCTGACCAGGAGTCACCAAATCAATGGATGTGATGTGTCCTGCCCGGTGTACTCCAGAATTTGCCGCAAGCTCCTCAACATGTCAAGCTGCAAGCGCTCTCAAATTCTGGCAATAACCCAACGATTAGCAATGTAGACAAATTCCATGCTACACGGACCGAAACACACATCAAGCAGTACAGGCGATAGCCACAAAGTACTCTCTCACGCTGAAATGTTCTGCGAAGACGAGCTGGGTCAAGCCAAGTTCTCCATGTTCTGTATTTGCTTCCAGAATCATTCCGTGAACCCCAAACATACCTTGGAACATCTGTTATGCAGGGCCATTCAAACAAGAGCCAAATGGGCTGCCAGCGTTTGCAGCACTTGGGGGGCCCCTCAAAGCCCATGGAAGAACGGAGCTGGGATCCGGACTTCGCTGTGTTGGGGCACACAGCCCCAATGTCCTGCACCGGTCCGTGTGTTCACCCACGAGAAGGCAGCCGACAGACAGCCTCAAGTCTGAGCTTCTTCGCGCATGGCGACTCCAGCTCCTCCCGCAGGATTCGAATCTTTATGGTTCAATATTTCTGGTCTGCTATAATGTGCTCTGGCATCATTGCAGGTCCAACATTTTGCTGAATCCAAGGCATCCGCCGAGCTTTCGGGGCGTGTTGGATGGTCAAAAGAAAAGGATACGCCATCCATACTTTCGCATGAGAGGGGTGGGGTAGTGCAGGGTTCCCCCGACATGTGCCCAGGGCTCATTTCCTAGAAGACGCACAGGAGGGCGCGTCAGTTCTCCAAGAAAGTCCGAGCCATCCCAAGATTCTCCGCAAGGAAGGGTCTGTTGGGAGGCGCCGTGCAAATGATGATGCCTATTTGAAAGCCGTCATGTTTTGGAGACTTTGGCACGAGCCCAGCCGCTGCCAAAGAGAGACTCCAAGCTGAGGCCTGGGGCTCGACCACCAGCGACCTGGTGTTATAGGGCTGTATAGAAAGACAGGAAAAGGAGCCCCCCCCTAAAATGATAGGCCATGCTAGGAGGGCTGTGATTCCCTGTTCTAACCATCCCCCAGAAAAGTACGCCTGATTGGTAAAATCCTGCATGACCTTAATCTGCGGTAATACCGTGAATCCCGACGCTATAAGGAAACTTAGGGTCATTACAGGGACTGCCACGACCGCGATATCGGCTGCGCTTGCGCGAAACTGCTTCCAGTGCGATGTATGAGACCGCCTCCCCCAGAAGCATCATGAGCACCCGTGCTGCGTGACAGCCGCTCACCAAGCTGCCCGCGCAGGCTTGGCCCACGCAGGCTGCCCGCGCATTACGGGGTGCTCATTGCAAGCATTTCGGGCCCTCTCATGCATCCTAAGTACCACTGCGCTTACGCACACCTCTCCGAACTCAAATGCCTAGTGAACTGTAGTGACGTAGTGTCAGCCGGCTCCTCTAGTAACCGGTCGTAGAGAGCCTTGGCCAGCACAGTAACAATTTTCAAGACAGCCATTACGACTGTGCGGCCTTGTGAGCTGAGTCTGGGGCTCTGGGAAAGATGTTGGGAACGTGAATGTGATTCAACACGGCCTAGCACATGGATCCCAATTACCTATGGTAACACCTTCCCAAGCTGGCCTGGCCAAGCAAGATGCCGTAAGAACGGAAAAAGTCTTCCGAGCCAACAGCTCGCTCGTTCAACCAGTACCTCATGCTCAGCTACTCGGCCATGCGCCCCCCCAGTGTCTGCCAAAGCAGGAGTCATGCAATCTTCCCGAGCTGTTTTTTCCGGCCCTTTCATAAGCATACATGTTCTGTAGCCAAGACTGCCGCCACAGCATCTGAGGCCCGTACGTACGCGACCTCAGTGACAAAAGCTTCCAAGCAGTCTGGTCACAGCTGTCTTCCCAACTCCGAAGCTTCAGGTGTGGCACTCTTTGAGTGCACAGGCTATCACCCACAATGCTCCAACGCTTCACTCCGGCAGGTCTGTGCCAAGCAGCTGCTCGTCGTAGACAAACAATCGCTCATTGTTGTTGGAGGCGTCAAGGAAACTGCGCAATGCAACCTGTTGGTCCATGCATCACTGACAGCTCCAAAGAGTGCACAGACAGGCTAAGCTACAAGGCATCTAGACTTGTAGACTCTGAGAGGTATAGACCTGGAAGAACTCCTTTGTGACACCTGGACCGCCAGCCTGCAAACAGCGCGACTAGGGTCTGGCTCTTGCTTTGATTTAGAGACATCCGTGGCCTCCTCATCTTGGAAGCAAACCCGCAGCCTAGTGCACATGAAGCGCTTAAAAAGACCGCAGATGCCTCAAGGCATCGCGGTATCCGGGTGGACCGACAAACTTCTGAGGCCCCAAACGGCTGCCGCAAATCTGCATCCTTGAGGCTCTCGCAGAACCGCTCCTTACCACAAAGCGTAGGAGGACGGCACTCCTTGAATGCTCAAACTTCCGAGTTGGCGGCTATGACTGCATGAACTAACCGCTGTGGCCTCAGCGAAACTGGTTCCGTCGGGAAGCTAAGACATGATTGCAAGTGGTAGAGCAAACCATGAGTCGCGGTCTCACGTGGAACCTGAAACGGGACACAACTTGACCATGACTGCCCAGTCGAGGCACAGATTAGGACAACTAGGATTTCACAAGCTGGAGTGATGCAGGGCAAACAATGATCGCGGAATGTCAAGGGCATGCCGGAAGGAATGTATACGCAGCGTGTTAAGAAGCTTCATCTGTAAAGCAAACCATGCCCAGAAGACACTCACAAGCCCTAACTGGCCTCAAGGTGCAAAGGAACAATTCGCCCCTGCGGGGAAGGAGTGGCTTGCTGTTGCTGTGACTGCTGTGAGCATTTACAGGTACAGAGGTTTACGCATGCAAGGAAAGTCTAGATTGTGGCAGGCTCGGAGACTGCGGCCGAATCCTGCATCTGCTCCCAGACGTCGCACAGCAAGCAGACCTGGTTGCAGAAGTAGTATTCATACCGTCATACGCATGTATTGTTCGTACCGAAAGTACAATCTTGAGTCATGAGTCCGAGCTTTTTTTCGGTTATTTCAGCACATACTCAACGAATTCGGATTTCTGGATCATTCTTTTTCGGTGCTGACAATAATCCATTCAATCATTCAGTCCTTCTCAAACTGCGTATTCCTTTTGCTAGCGAAGAGGAAGAATGACGAGGGAGAAGGAAGAACCAAACGAAAATGAACGGAGGAGAAATGCAGAAGGCTGAGGGGCTCAGGTATTCCCATGCCCCCTTGTCTCTAAAGACGAAGCCGTCAAGGCAACGTCTTCAGGAGCTTTCGCCGTACAAGGGCTTGTGAGCTTCGAGGGTGGCAGGGCCAATTGATGGATGTTTCTCTTCTATCTTCATTGCGGAGACGGGCAGGAGCCACCATCCACCCTCATTATGTTCAATATTTTCCCCACACGAAGGAGAATGGTCAAGCTTCAACTCACCATGTTGAATTCCTATGAAGATTGTAGGACGCACCTACAAGGGACTGAAGATCTCGCTGGCGTCCGTGTGCATCTTTATTGCAGAAAAAGGAGTTCTGCTTTTGTATGTCCCTTTCTAAGTAGAGAACACAGGTTTGTTTTCTCTCGGGCTTTTTTGATTATGTTGTTTGCTGTTCTCAATGGTAAATCACTGACAACAGTTTTGCGTAGGGCAAGAACGTTAACTGCTCCTAACACAGTTTCCTTCCGCATAGTGTTCGTTGCTTGTGCTTTTGGGGCAGTATTTGAATATTTTGCAACAACAGCCGGCTTCCCGCCCATCGTCCCACTCAATACGCCTGACCTGAACTTGTTATAAATCCCTTACATTTAGTTTTACGTCGCCATGTCGAGCAGGTCCAATTTAAGAGGCTGCGCCCAGGAGCGGGCGACGCACCACCCCCACCCCTTCATGGAGAAACGAGCCTCCAATGATGCTTATGGTGCTGTCGCAGGGGGCCAGCATCATCAGCATCATTGGGGGCTCGTTTCTCCAATCTGAGGTCCAAATGGGCCTTGGGGCTAGTTTTCAAAAACCCTTGGTGCTCATGATGGTTTTCTGGGGGTCCCGGGACCCTAAAAATCCTTCAAAATCCCTCCGTAGGGGGGGATTTAGTTCAAAACCGCATGCCAATTTTCGGCTTAGGTCTGGGAGGGCTCCTGGGAGAAACGGAGGTCCTATGATGCTGGGGTCGGTGGCACTGGCGTCCGCTCCATGGCGAAGCCAGGGCCATGGCCTGCGGCAGCAACCCGAGAGCGTTGCCCGATTTCATTCTGCTGTTGTAAAGCAGCAACCCTTTCCTTGTTTGGTGTTTCCTAGTTAACTGATTGAATGTCTGAGTCTCTTTTAGTCAATGAAGCACATTTCCTTGATTCTTCTGCAATATGCATTCTGTTCAAGAAAGGTCTGCAAAACATTGAAACTCCCAGAAAAAGGGGCTCTTTCATTCCAAATGCATTTTCTCTTAGCGCTATGAGAAGGATTTGCTGAAAATACCTTCGTTAAGGCCAGCTTTATTTAGAAGCAATACAAACCTGGAAAATCAAAGAGGTCCCAAACACCGTTTGAACCTTGGTAACCCTATGATTACAGTCGATATCGGAACACATTCCCTCCCCAAATGGCTTCTTGCGATTTGCTCAGGCTGCAGCCCTACGAAAGTTAACCGGCACCAGATTGCTGTGCGTCAGGAAGGAACCTCGGTAGCACGTGACTCATTCGTGTCAAGCGCCGCAGACCGCAAAGGGCCCAGCAAAAATCATTGGTGATCCTGAACCTGCGGACGTCCAGAACTTTTGGCACCTGCAAGCATCGCGGCCTCTTGCCCGAGAGAGCCCTTGTCGCAAATCATTGCATGCGCCGATTAATAAACCCGCACAACTCAAGCGCGGCACTGTAGCACTTGGATGCTTTCGCCAGCGTTGGAATTCAGAAAGCGGCTCGCATTTGTTGATACCTGCCGCACACAGCACTACCACAAAGAGCACGCCTTCAAGTCTCTACACAAAGTTTGGGATTCGCCTTCGGGAGCTAGAAATCTCGCTGCGTGATTGCGACCTTTTCTGACCCCACACTGTCCTCCAAGCCGTCCCTGTCACGTGCCCCTTCCTACCCAGCACCCTCAAAAACCTTAAGATGCCTTTTTGCATCTGAAGACTGCGACGGGCAAAGCAACCCAGAACACAAATGAAGAGCACACCTAAAGATGCTTAAAGATCCAAACCGAGTAAACAAATGGGAGGGCAAGCGTGAGCTGTGGCCTAGAAGGGCTGGAAGGAGACATCATCTGAGGATCCGCTCTGCAGCTTTCATGTCTGGTGGGCTTTAATGCATCCTTTCTAGGTGTCCAGCGCCTGTCTACTTCAATGAAGATCACAAGCGTATCCCCACCACCGCGCCCCAGCGCTGCTATCACAACTGCTACTGCTAGTGCTAGTACTGCTACGATGTGCTACTGCTACTTCCACTTCTACTGCTGCTATGTAGTACTTCTACTGAACTACGACTGCCAAGGTTGGCATCAATCCTGATACCCTTCCTCTCGCTGCTACAGCCACTCCTATGACCATGGTCATGGCGGCAGCAGCAGTGACGACGACCGCGGTGATGACGACGAGTCGTGGAATGGCCACCATCACGCCACAGGCGTGAGGCCAGCATATTGGCTCCCGCAGCCAACCATCAACGACCCATGTGCCCACCCCACAACAAGATACAATTTCAACTTGAAGGAGAAAAACTGAGGGAGAGGGACTGGGACGAAAGCTAGAGCAAGATCTAACTGGCAGAATGAAGATACTGCAAATGAGGAAGGCTTCAGAACACAAACTCGTGATTGGCACCTAATTGTGTGGCACTCAAAGAGTATGCATTGCAAATGTAAATGTCTGCAGTATTTGCACACTGCCTACACCATCTAATCTAAGGCTCTCCAAGAGCCTGTTACTCCAGTAGATGCAGTATGTACAATGTGCTTATGCCCAAGTTGCCCAAACACAAGCAAGCTTGGACGAAGGCCAGGAAGCTTCATCGAACCCTGTCCAGGGTTCATGCAGTGGGTCGACCATGTATGTTCTTTCAAGGGTCAGATTCGGTGTTCTTTATGTGTTCTTTGGGGGTCGGAAAACGACCCCTGCGATGCGCGCCCGAAACTGTCCCTGCCCTGCTGTCTGGCCGAAAAACCCGTCAAAAATGACCACCCCACGAACATCCCACCCCCCACACCCCTCGTTGCAAGCTAAGGCTTGATAAGAAACTCAAGCTAGACCTCGAGGCTGCTTTTCGTGACACGAAAATAAGCTGCTGCGCTGCCATGCCAACGATGACTATGATGCTGTTTAATGCTGCTTACAACAAAGTCTTGTCCTTCCCACAGTCAGGCAGTCAGTCAGTCATACGCCTGCAACGCGTGGAGATTCAAAAGCTGGCTCACCGCGACGCCAAACAACTGGATGCTGGCTGAGTCTGGCAACGTCCTGGTGGCCGCCAAAATGTTCAAAAGCTTTGTTTCGAATTTCAGTAACCCCTTCACGTCTCGGTCTGCCAACCCGTCTGACACAAGCACGGGTGTTTGGCTGAAGGCTTCCAGGAATGAATTCGGCAGTGTGAAGGGAAAGGCCACGTGAACATCTGAGCGCTGTCACAAACAACAGGAGTTGACGTTGCAACAGTGAATCTGTACTGGCGCAGCAGCCAGCTGGACGCCTGGTTTCAGCCTTCGAAATTTCGTGAAATGAACGCGGGGGGGAATACCCAAAACGCTCCTCAAGGAGCGATGTTTTAAAAAAAATCGGGGCGACAACAATCTGTAGCTAAAAGGCATCAACAACTCAAACTGTACATTAGTTTGGATTCAATGAGCACTTTGTAAATCTGGATTTTCGTGAACAGCAGTGACGAATGCTTCCATACCCTTTGCTGTTCCCTGAAGTAAGCTTTGGCTATACCAATTCGACGCCCCAGCTCATGTCCTGGCACATATGCCTGGCCTGGAAATGATCCCCCCCCATCCACCCCCCGGATTTAGCAGTGCAGCGCGAGACAGCACCTGAATTCTTGCCAGTGGAATTCCATTCCATACAGCCTGCCCAAATCACCTTGGCATAGCATCTTTCATTAGTGCGGTCATCATCATGATAAGCAGCCAAGGGCTCCTCGTGCAACCTTGTGAAGATCCAGATATTTGCAATTTCAAGTCAGACTTGACCCCTTGATCTTATACGAAGAAACGACGGCAACGCATAATGTCGGAAATCATTCGAAGGCAGAACCGACGTTGAGCCTCAAGCAGGCTGTCCAAATTGCTACCCCCCCCCTCTCCCTGCGTGTCCAAATTGATGCTATCGAAAGCCTTTGGCCAGTCAAGAGCCAAAAGAAAAAACACTTTTTCCATCACGCCGCCCACACGCATCTTTGGTGCTATGCCCCTTTCGGAATCCAAACTGAGAATTCCAGAGCCTGGGTTCAACGCCAGCATCCAGAAAAGAATTGTCACTAAGAAGTGTAGCAACCAACTTGCACGCAATGCTCTATAGAGGCAAATTGGTCTGTGATTGTTCGGGTCAGCATATCTGTCAGCAGGACCACCAGTTTTGAGCAGCATCGCAGCTGAGGCGGTTGACAACTCTTCAGATCGCTGCTTGTCCTTCCCGCCAAGAACAAATTTCATGGGATAACAGCTAACGTTCAGAAATTCCAGGCTCTGTCTACTCGGGCATCATCCTTGAACCACGTGAAGTAACAAACGCATAAAAAGGGATAGCCGGGATAGCCATCCGGTGTAAAAGCAACTGAAATAAAGTCTGAGTACACGTGGGGGAAAGTAACAAGGAGTTCTTCGACACAACTTTTTGGAGCTTTTTGATTTTTGATGTGTTTTCAATGGCTTCCAGGCGCCGCCTGCGCAGGCAAGAACCTCCCCGCTCTGACCCTCCTTCACTCCACCAAGCACCGAAACTTCAGAGCAGTTATGATGGACAGGATGCACCACAAGCAGGGCAAGCTGTGATACGAGTATACAGTCTGTCAGGGAATCACCACTGCCACTTCATTCAAGTGTCTAGCCCAGGAAGTCTTCCGGCAAATCCGGGGCGCACCATCCAGGACAAAGCGCTCGTAGTCAACCTCGTGCCATCCACAAGTGTCTCGCGCGATGTTGGAAATGAGGCCCAGGTTTCTGAGATGTGTGCCTTTGGACCCCGGCTGCTCTGCTCCTCCAGTCTCCTGATGGCAGACATGCAGCACTGTCAAGAAATGCTTGACACGTTCAGGTGTTATCTGTGTCTGCCTCGTCTTGCACGGTAGCTCATTGGTGCTGTACAAGAACTGCAGCCAACCTGCAGGCTATGGGAGCAGGATAGCCTCAATCCGGGCTTCACTTGAAACTTAGGACACGGCCTACCGCATGCCAGAACCTTTCATCTGAACGGATATCCTTGACATCCTGTACCTGGCAGCCACCTAGTACCTGTGAGCATCTCGTGTACGGGAGTCACCCTTGATCAGCACTTGTAGCTACACCGCCAACGTCAGGTGCAATAAGCGGGCCGAGGAGACGTGCACAACTCTTGCATTGACTACATCGACGGCGGCCTCCGCTTGAATCGCCAAAGCCGATGGGCACGACAAGTTTGCTGCATGTGCACACACATTGCCTGCGCCAGCCTTTCGAAGAGGGCGGTAGGCCACGAGAACGCTAGCTCATGGGCAAGCCTGCAGCAACAGTTCGAAGGCTTTGCGGTTTCGACATCAGCCCGTCACAAGCAACCTTCCAACAGAAACTTGCCTGCGCCTGTCTGCCACATTCAGATGTAGCACGTGCCATCCTGCTCCACGCAAAGCAAGCTGACTTCAGGAGCCAAGTGTTGCATGGTATCTCAACCATCCGGCTCTATAAGAGTCCTATTCGCTCAGTAATGTCGATGACCCAGAACAGCCGCCTTGACCTGTCATCAGGGGTGCAGGAAACCGTCAAACCTGAAAGCTCGTACTCTGACGAAATGTCAAGATATCACAGGGCTTCCAGCAAATTCTCATCATTCGCTTCGTCGACTTCGGCCTGGAAACAGCTGGAGGCCAGGCAGCGAAATAAAAAAAGGGATAAAGCAAGGCACAGGCCATGAAAGCATCCAGCAACTCTCTTGATCTGGCATGGCAATCCTGTGGTCACCATCGCTGTGCAAGCGATCATAATGCAGTAATGGATGTGGATAGGTTCACAAATTCAGGAAGCACCTGGCAAAAGTCAATGTCGCAATTCTCCGAACAGTGATAGTAATAGCGGTCGGTGATACCTGCTGTCATACACCACACGCTCAACCTGGCTTGCCATTTTCTGAGGCGCGTCTGAGGTTTGGACGGGTCCCGCAGTTATCACATATCTTCTTCGTGTTGAACACCTGGCAAGGCTTCCATCACATGTCCAAGGAAGTTCAGGCCGAGACTCAGCGTCGCGCGGGGCGCCATCTTGAGGTCCCCAAATGTACATGCATGGTATCTGACAGGAAGGAATCAGCTTTGCAACAGTAGGCGTGGATGCTGTTCACTGCTAGCCTTCTGCAGCCTCTTGTCTCTCCATCTTGTGAGGGTGGGGTATGATGCATACCTTCGACTGACACAAGCATCTTCCGGCTCTTTTTCCCACATTCTACGTGCTGCATTACAGAACACGCGCTGCCTCATTCTGGTCCCTTGGCAATGCATTGGTCAGGAGAGGCAGGATCGCCGACAGGAGAGCCTGGACACTTGTATGTTAGTGTCCAGGGCTTGCCAGCGTTCCCTGCGCACGTCCACACTGAAAAGCCGCAAGTGCACGCTAGTTGCATTTTGAATGACGCAATGCGAGCCTGCCTACAAAAAAAGCTATAAGCGACCGCCCACAGCGTGAATGACTACGTACACAATCAATGCCAAGGAAACTGACAGCCATGTGATGGAGGGCGTTGATGGTTCCTTTGCTGGTGCAGAGGCAAGTGTACCAAAGCAGCTGAAATGCTGCTGGAGCAGCAAGTTAAATCGCAGATCTGATGTGCCAAATGTGGCTCTTCATCGACATCCATATCTTCGACGTCGAGCATTTCTATAGCGTCCTCTTTGGGCTCCTGCAGGTGGTGTGCCAAGAGACTTTTTTACATGCTGCCAAGTTCTCCGTCTGAAAGCATGAAATTTTCTGAGCTGGCACCTCAGTGCTTCCTGTGCCAGACGAGGACTCTTTCTCCGGGTCTGCGCAGCAATGGCTTGTCACAACGTGGCAACTGGCAATACACCTCTTCATCAAATCTTGTGAGCCCTTGTTTCTAGCCAACTGGTGAAAGTCAGACACCTGCAACATCTGGGAGGTCGATGTCAGTCTCCTCAACTATCAGACAAGACGAAAACGCTTCAAGTGAAAATCATCGCTGGCTGCGCGCCTCCGGTCGGATGTTTGTATCCGACTGTTCTGAGAAGTCTGAATGCGCGAATGGCCGCCTTTCAGCATAATTAGTAATAATGAGCAGCCAAAGATGCAGATCCCCTCTGCTTGCACCAAGTTCTGCATCCGAATAAGCAGCCAAAGCATTACCAGAGCCTTGGAAGAATGGGCATCACCTCGGCCTGCCATGCTTGTCAAGAATACAACTTGGTGCAGCGTATGGAACAAACCAGAAAAGCACAAGCACAGATGTTCCTTTACTATGCTCCAGCAGCGCACAGGTCATGATCGAGATCAGGTTCAAACAAGGCGGAAGCACGGCAGCTCCTCTTAGGAGGTCAGCCAGCTGTGCAAACCATGGTGATGACCCCTGGAATGACAGGAGGCACTGCGGCAACAGCTTCTTGCTAAGGCCGAAGAGAAGATGACGCCTGACCACTAGATTCTGCTACGCTATTTCCCGTGAGGCCCAGCACATTTTTCTGCACATACCCCAGACATCATTCAACGAAGACACACCAAGTAGTGGAAGAGACAACCACCAACTTCTTGTTGACGCTTCCGTCATTGAAAAGAATGCCGCCACGAATTTTGTTTGATTTGAGGGCAGTCTTTCCCTGAAGGCATCACCCCGAGCTGGACAAAATGTCACAACAAACGGCAAAGCAACGGCGCTAAGGGCGTTAGAGCCGCTGTTTCATCCTTAGCTCCAACACTTCACGTCCTTTTCTTCGGCCTCAGCATGCCTCAAGCCTTGCAAGATGGAGCCCCCTGTGAAATTCGGGCCCACGACCTGTCGCTTGCCCAGCTGGTGCCCTACCAACTTAGCTAAAGAAGCGCACTCATTTTGAAACCTTTCTCAATGCACAGTCCATGGCTGCCACTTTCTCATTTCTGCCAAGCTATGAGACCAATAGAGTAGATAGTGTGCCTCCCTCTGAAGCAGGAGATTCTCTCAACCGGAGATGACTGAAGACCAGGATTCCATGATTGCACTGTGCGACTGTCGCTTTGAGGAACTGAAGCCCTCTGCGAGCACCTTGGATACAAGGCGCTCGAACGCGAAAGTCACCCGCAGGTAGTCCCTGGAAGGACCTTGTGCCGAATTGGGACAATCATTTCCACAAACGCATGCAGTGGAATCGGATTCAGAACGTGCTTCTGAAAAGCATGGAGGCTTTGCGAGCCGCCGAACCCCAAAGGAACCATTTAAAAAGGAAAAGTTTATGGGTGGCAGTAAGTTGCTGCCTCATGCAGACTGAGCAACTGTTCTGTGCAGACACGCCAGGAAGGAAAGACCTCGCATGCCAACATGCCACCAACGCATTCGTTCACTCGCGTGTCAGGGCACACAAGCAACGAGCGCAGGACCTCGCCAAGCCAGCCTGAGTGCGCAGAGTCTCCACAACCTTGGCAGAGCTGAGTGCAATAAGTCGATCGGAATCAATGCTAAAACTTTGAAAGCCGAGAAGTCTGCAGGAGACAAGCATTGGATGCTTGTCCGGCAGTCCTAAGATACATGCGAATGGGTTCGCTACATCTAAATCTCGTCCATGGCTGCCGATGCCTCGGCAGTCAAAGCTGCATCCACCGCGGCCTCCAATGCCTCCACACCCAAAGGCATTGCTTGCCGCTATGCGGCCGACCTGGACCAAGCTACGTCTACGTACCAGCTCAATGAGCTTCGTCCCTGTTGCGGCCTCTTGAGATGTGGCCGTGGCTCCACCGAGTATGATTTTCTGGTGCTCAGTCTATGCCACTGGCTTCAGAAAAATCCACCCTTTGGCTCTCTGGTGTTAGATGTTTGTTGCTGCATGGTAGTATCAAGGCGCGGGACATTCAATGGCATCCTGCACCAATAGCTATAAGTGTCATGTAAGATGTATACGGCAGTCACTTGGGCCGCGCGAATCCATACAATGCGCAGCATGATGACCAGCATCACCACACATCCTGTGTGGACTTCCTCCGTGCAACTGGAACCCCTCAGGCTTGTAGTGTTCACTGCGTCATGACTATTGCTTTTTGCGCAGTAAAGACGCCTCTAAAGCAACCGAGCAAGCTCGCTTCCCACCTGTCAGCACCATTCTACACCACAGCATTGCATGCCTCACAAGTGAGGCATCTGCTCGGCGAAGCTGGCCCTAAACTGCACCAAGGACATTATCTGCATCCCGCAGCGTCGACAACTCAATTCATTTCATACTCTTGTCACTGCATCAAAAATACGTATCTAGTAACTGCTGCGGAAGCATTGGCTTGGAAAAGCTACACTGCTCTGTCCAACACACCCGAGGCCGAGCCAGTAAGGCCTCCGAAACTTGCATAGTAGATAGAAGTATTGGCGAGCGAGTTCCATGCAAGCAGTGCGCAAATGCTGGTCAGGTCACACCTCTGTGGGGACTTCATTGCATTTATGTTGCATTTCATGGTGTGTGACTTCTACAACTGGCACAAATACCCCTGCTGTTGCCTTCTTGGCAAGTTGCCACCCACGCAGGTGGTGGCGGCTTGGCATGGGCCTTCAGGCCTTTCTATCCTTGGAGCAGGCGCTGCTCCCGGTCAACGATGTCTTGATGCCATTTGCTTTTCGGAAATATTTCATTACGGGCAGCGCATAGACGCAACCTTCATGCAAACGGCTTTCGCAACTCAGGCCAGCAGGAGTTCCTCAGATGGAACTGGAAATCTGCCACACGTCTGTCACCAGGACTGGCACAATCTGAATGTCCAAGATGCTCGTCGCGATGCCGATGTGCTTCCCACACAGCCCGCGCTGGCCAAGCCTCAGCACTTGAAAGCTGGACGATGTAACAGGAAGCCTTTCATACATCTTCTTGAAACATTCAGCCTATGAGCAGGCGCTTTTGGAGCTACGCGTTGTGCGCTTCCGATACTACAATAAGTATAGGACACATGGCCTCCATGGCGCTTGGCACATGGACTGCCAAAGCAAGCAAGGCTTTAGCCTTGCATCATCAACATGCACGTTTGCACATCATGCATTAGCTGGTGAAACATGTGGCCTTCTATTGGGCATTCTGGTGGGGGGGGTGTGCAAGCTAACACTACAGCAAGGGAAGATTTGTTGCCTTCTCAGGATGGATGTGTCCTGAATTTGTTCGGCATGGCGACCTTTGAGGCCGGCGCCAGCCTCCTCAGCTCGGCTCTAAGACGCTGCCTTTCGGAGTGACGAGGGGCTCGATTACTTCCTGCAGCCGCATTGCAGTCCAATGCTTGCATCATTGTGGTGCCAGCTGCGAGGCTAACGTCCTGCATTGCGTCTACCTGCAGATGAAGACCATGAGGTTGCGTCAGGTCCTCAGCTGCTTGAACCAAGCTCAATCATGGACACTATCTGTTTCTGCACCGTCTCCCACCCCCTTCGCGCCAGGTCACCTCCCGGGGATACCACTGCAATCCTGTACCTTCAACTTCCGATTTGTGGACAGTCAAGAAGTTCATCGGTGGAGGTGCTCCAGTTCTGCCTTGATTGACAGGCAGGCAAATGAAACAAGACAGCAGGCCTCTCTCAGAAGGCAGCCAAGAACTCACTCGCTTCAGGCTTTTAGGCCGCAAAACATCGCAAACGCGCAAGCCTTCAAGACAATCGTTGTTTTGACGCACCTGCCACTGCTCTGACCTTCATCTTTGTGAGCCAAACATATGGGACCATCAAAACAATCTAGAGCTGGGGAAGCTCAGCTCTGATTCAAACAATTTCAGTAGCTTGTGTCGTTTCGGCCAGCCTTCCAGACCTGCCCTTGAAGTTTTCCACAGCTGCTTGTGACAGCTGTATACGGTGGCTTTTTGTGCATCATGAGCCTCAGGGCCTCATGTCTAGCATGCAGCATTGATTCCATAACACACTGAGTCTCAACATCATACATGCCTCGGCACAAGAAGGCAGGCACTTCCGCTTTTGCAACTAGAAAGGACATTTGTCCAGAACATGGCACAACTAGCATTCGTGTCTAGAACAGACCGCACTTGGCTCGCAACAACCCCAGGCAAAGAATTCTCTAGACCCTAGGACCGCGTGGACCTGAGAAGCGTTGTGAGAGCTTGGTGTGCAAAGTTTTGTAGTGATCGAGGGCAGCGCAGGCACGACGCAGCTGTACTTAGCTTCCCCCCACTGTGCTAAGCACAGCGCACGGTCCCTTCACTCACCACTAGGCAGCTATAGCATGCCGCCATCATGCCTATTCGCATCAAGGGTGCAAACTCTTCTGGCGTCCGTGATGACTTTGCAGAGCTCCTGAGTTGCACTTCATAGGCTTTGCTGGTGAAGATCTTGTCATAGCAGTCCTTGTTGCTCGGCACATGCGTAGGATAAGGAGGCATTACTGGACAGCTCAAGGCAGAGCGAGCTCTCCGCCATTCCTGCACCTCAACATCTTTACATGCCACGCCTTTGAAGGTTCAATTCCTGCCTCCCAGTGGTAGGTGGCCATGTCCATGCGCCATTCTTGGAGCAGCTGCAGCTGTTCCCGTCTTCGGTGTCGCAAGAGAAAACTCGGTCATGCAGGAGCAATTCTAGGAGCTGCTGTGAGCAACTAGGTTCTTGCAAGAAGCCAAAAATTTCCTCCNNACCCCCCCCCCCCCCCCCCCATGGCAAGAGTCGACTGCTCAGTATGTCTCAGTCTCAGCACCAGACTGTACAGCCTGTGATCTCCAAGTGTCAGGAAGCAAAGACTTGGCCTGCATCATGTTAGAAAACACATGCACTGCACACTCAGCACGGCCAAAAGATTACAACGTGCTACTAGCTCAGCTTGTGAGCCAGCCTGCTCTTGAGATCTGTGATCTTGACCTTTATGACTTGGCGGCATCCGACGGCAGAAATCTGTCTTGGAATCCTGTTTCATCTCCTTTTGCTCGTCCTCGTGCTCCTGACGGGCAATACACATGGCATGAGCTACAGCTACACAGTAAAAGTTGCACTGCTTCGCCTTTTCGACAATCTCCCGCTCAATGTGAATCATCTGTGCCTTGCGATGCGCTGTCCGTCGACAGCTTGGAGCCACGGTTGACAAGTCGCAAGGCGTGCCTTCAGTGCCACCCTGGTCGCCTTCAATCTCACCAAGGCACTTCGAAGAAATCTCTGCAGCCGTTTGATGCGGGCCTCCCAAACACAACTGCCTCCCTCTACAAGCCTCAAGGAACAAAACAACCCCTTGAGCAAAAGCGCGAGCCGAGCTTCCAAGACGTCTCTCATCATTCGCAGAGCACGGAAAGGATGCCAGCAGCGAAGAGCAGCCAGCAGACAGCGTGTATGGCCACGTGCTCGTCGAACACGAAATTTGGTCACAACCCTGCGGCAAGGCATCAAAACAGTCACCACAAGTCGCGCTCTTCTTCTCACCAATGCTGCCTGGAGACCTGTCCTCCATTAGCTGACAGCGCCACATAAAAGGCAGGGCTGTGCTCTTGTCCAAAACAGGAAGCTGCATCTGCATGACTCGAGCATCTGCTGACCTTTGCGTCGCATACCCAGAGTCAGGACTGATTCAAACTTCCAACCCACAAATGCTTGACAGAGTAGTGCAGCTGCTCTTGATATCTCTTGATGCGCATAGGGGCTCCTTCAGCGACTTGCGCGGGCGTGAGGGGCTTGAAGGCGTCGGCGATTCACAAGCGGAGACAGGAGATGCCTGCATGTTCTGCAAAACGGTTCCGCAACCAACTTGGCAGAGCCATGCAGGGACCCTGCAACCAGACCCGACCCTTACAGCGCCACAGAAATTCGAATTCTCCATTCTGCTTCTGCACACTGGCCACCAAACCCCAATAGGCCACATTAAGTGGTGTTGAAGGCAGCCTTCGTGGCAGCTTTTCAAAGTCGGCAGGATTTCCTGCCTCTTGCACGCAACCAGCAAGCTGAGCACGTACTGAAGATGCATAATGTGAACCTTCGGGAGCAATGGGTGAGCTTGCTTAGTGCCATCTGCCGAGTGTCTCGTGCTGTTCATTCTCTCAGCGCCAAACGCCACAAGTTGATGGCTACCGCGCATGCGAAAGGCCTTGCCTTGAACTTGGCGTGTTTGTGCAGAAAACTCTGCAGCAATCACACCATGTGAAGCACCTTTGGCCAAGAAACTGCAGCGCCCTTTTCCTGAAAGCTGATGCGGTGGAAACGCGATAGACATGCCTTCGAGCGTCGACAACTGAGCTGTTGACTACATCTCGCAGACATCTTTAACAGCGAGCCTGGCTGATCGGGCCAAAACCAGCCATTGCCTTGGCAGCTGCAGCGCAGAAGGCTGCAGCGGCCATTATTGTTGCAAACTGCTTTTGGCGCTCCTGGTAAATCTCCACATTCAAAGAGCATGCCACGAGCCCATGGACAGACAACAAACAGCAGGCACAAATAGCAATTCTGACGACCTGCAGCTGCTGTTCCAAAGTGAGTGATGCAAGCGGCCGCCTTCGACCTGAGTCAATGATGGAGGTTTCCCAGAGTTCTACGACAAGAGCTGACGTACCGCCTGCTCCGTTACCTGTTCGCAAAACGTGTTTGTCGTCGTTTGTCCACATATGTTGGTCTTGGCGATTTCCCAATTCAGTCGCAAGGACGATCGATGAACATCAGAAATCGATCGTATATTTGTGTATCTGCTTTGGCATTGCTTTAGCTAATGCTGCTAGGGCGGCCATCGTGTTCCCGGTCAGCCATGAGAGCCACGTGTAGCAGAGTCTCGCTTCACTCCTAAAACGCGCCTTTCAGAAACTCCCAGCTGGTGCAGGAGCTGCGCTGGATTGACCCTGACCTAACGTTGGGTTGAAGACAGGTTTGGAAATCTTTCCCAGATTGCCGGCAGGTGGCAGGCCCCCGACCCCCGAACAAGCGTTCTGGTATTCCAAACACAGTAGCACTGGCTTGTCCTCTAGATTATGAGAGGAATCAAACTACACTAGGCCTACTTGGGATTCCTGCTAGCTCGAAAGCTGATACTGGGAGCACTGGCGCAGTTTGCCTGATCTTGCAGATCTGCAAGGTTTGGCCCATGCTCCCCATGCATTTCGTACTGCTCAGGCGTCAGGGAAAAGCATGTGGCTGCATCAAAATGACGCACATATGACTTTCAGTACACTGTGTGGTTCCAAGCGGCCACCTGCACGGCTGGAATTCTTCTCCATCTCAAACTGCTCCATGCGCTGGAGATACCGGTCCATGTCTGCTAAAGTTTTCTCTTCAAGTTCCTGGCTATCCAAAGCAGGCTGTGGAAGCTGCGTGGCTTGCTGCCCCAACGCCGAACTGAAGACCATGCTAGGTTTTTGGTCAGCTCCTGCTGCGTCAGCTCTCGTCGTGTGCGGGCGGCTTCAAGGCGAAGTCTCCTGCAACAGCTTAAAAATGTGTTTTGTGCAGAGATTCTGATGTGCGCACGCCATGCCCCCTCCGGTGGCTATGGCATGCTATGGCTCAAGGATGTTCAACGCTGATGTCTTGAGTCTTGAGTGACACTTGGTAAAAAGCCATGGTGTCCGGTCCTGTGCTCTGCTTGGACGGCCAACTGGACACGCCGTCTTTGTGGCTGGAAGCTTCGAAGGCTTGTAGATGACATCACTTGCGCTGCTGCAACTTGGATAGGTTTGGGCGGCGCTGGCTCGAACCTGAGACGCATGTGCCTCGCCCATCACGTACAGAGTCTGTCTAAGGGCAAGAAGCGCTGGATCCATGGCCAGTGGAGGCGGCGGCGGCTCGATCCGTCTCGTATATCCTCCAAGAAAACAAGAAAAATGTCAGACAAGTCTTGAGAGAGAAAGCTGGAAAGGAGCAATACATCAGAGAACTCATTGCAGAATCATCCAACCATCATGATCGAAAGCCCTCCCTTTCACAACTTCATCTGGGCTGCTGTAGCGAGCCAGCCGATACCGAAGATCCTCTCTGAGATCGGCAGGTTCGTCGCAAATAGCTTCCTGCAGTCAAGAATGTCGCAAGCACTGTGGAATGGAATTCTGCATTATCCTGCCTTGTCAGTGTTTGTTTTTCCTTGGAAGTGCTCCATTGAGCTCCGGATATCTTCAATTGAGGCAAGGGCTGCGTTCGTCACCTGATTTGATAAGCTCTTGCAATCTGAGAGCAGTGGGCAAGGACCAGGCATGGCCCACCTCTTCCACGCCAGCGAGGATTGCACCGGCAGATTTATATACCTTGCATGCATGTGCCTTCTTGCACTTTCTTAAAAGATCATCAGCTACCCTGTTTTGAGGCCAGCTGCCGTCCCACGCTTGGCAAGACCGCCAGAAACCTGCGGCAGAGAGCCTGACACGCCCCCAAATGGACCACACCGAGTTAAGTTGTTGAAGGGCTTCTTGAAAAGTCCTCCTGTCAGTTTCCAATCTCACAACTGCGGTCCATTCTTTCGCAGTCAGCGGACCTGCGTCTGTATCAAGGGATGCCTTCCTTGCGGAGCTGGATCGGATCGTGCGAGCCTGTCATATGCTTACTAAGGTTACAATTTCACAAGATTTCACAAGGTTGCTCTTCCAGAACACATAGGGCAACAGCTTGGCCAAACGCTTCTGCAATTTTCGGCAAGACTGGATCTGAACGAATCCTTAGCCCACAGTCACATGGCCACGACGAGCTGGCTCCTCACTGCGGCCGCTGGCACTTCCGAAGCCCTTCGGAGGCCGCAGGACGGCCCCAGTTCCGGTCGGACACCTGAGCTCTGTCTTGTATCCTTGGCAAAAACATGCTGAGGGTTGCCTTGACGAAACCGTTTGTGCCGAACATCGCAGCATGTCCAGCGCGGAGGCTTGCCATTGAAGCATTTGAGGCTGACCCGTGAGTTCTGAAACATAGACAGAAATCTTAAGTTGTGCTTGCTTGGGCCGAGAAGGCACTTCTTGCACTGCAATGCTCAAACCATCTCAAATGGCCCATAATGACTGCATCCGCATGTCTGGAGAGTCCGGCTCTCATCAGTCAGGCAAGTGTGAGAAATCCATCCTGTGCAGCATGGTTGTGCTGCAGCAAGAGGCTCCGTCGACACCCCGCAAAAAAAAAAAAAAAAA